CTCTTTTGACACAGATGCTCAATATCTCCTCAAAAGAAATTTTAAAAACATCACACTTGTAACGTGTCAAAATCTAACCATCTCTTCACTCGTGTATCCCTAAAGAGCCAAGGAAGCAGGGGGTGTGCAGGAGATGCATAAAATCCTGGCCGAAGAAATGCGCAGACAAACAATTCCCAGTCCTCTCCACCTCCCTTAATTAAAAGAGAGAGGGTAACATCATTCAATAGATATATCACTATAGAAAGGTAAACCTTTCAACATCTAATCAAAGTACCCATGGCAAGTTGTTCCAAATAATGGATCTTACTGAACTTTGATGGTAAAATCCTATCAATTAGAAAGTGACATATCTATAGTGGATGGCACTGTCTACCCTTCATGGAAATTAAGGGGCCACCTAGCACCTTTCAAAAACGTACACAGTTTTTCTGGGTAAATATGTCATGGTTCTAAAATTACAAGGAGTTTGCAATTTCTTCTCCAATAACAACAGAGAAACTTAAGGCTCATACAGTATGCTGCAACAGTGTTAGTATATGAAAAATTATTTTTCAGCTATGCATAAATAGCTACAATCAACTCCGCTTTAAAACTTCAGTCTAATGAGATACAGAATCTGCAGCTTTATTGGCTTCTGAAAAAGGCCCTGATTAACTAAATTTTGAGCATGATGTATACCCTAAGTTAAACAAACCGCACATTTCCGACCATGTGAGATACATGTACTAGTGACAATTACTTTTAATTAATACTTGTACTTTAATTGGTCCACCAGGCTTAAAAAAATTAACAATGACAATGAAAGAAAACAGAAAACTGGTTATTCTGCTACTTTTGATAACAGGTTAATTAAATGTTGAATTTACCAGCTTTTGGCAAGTTCTAACAAGAAGTACACATAGGGTAGAGCTCCACATATCTTTAACTTTGTAAGATATTACAATTTTTCATCAAAATATTTTGTGCAGTTTGTTAACTCAAGATAATTTATGTCATTTTACCCTGAAATTCTAGCCTGTGCAATAAATTAAGCATTAAAGAAAACAAACTCAAAGTATTGAACTTCATTAACTTGCATAAGTCAAAGTGATCTTTCTGATCTTGGAGAACCCTTCCCACATAACTTATCAAACTAGATGGATTTAATCAAACCCCATCCTTGGATACAGGTTAAATTACCATCATAATAGTACATGAATAATTTAAATTAAACTTAAAAGCAAACTTTTGGCCACCAGAAAACTGCCATGATACTAAGAAAGTCTGAAATCAGACAAGTTTTGATTCTGGGTCATGTTCCCAGTCTCCAAAATTTGGTTTTTAAGACTTCATTGCAGTCCCTCTCTCTAGACTCTCCCCTAAGAGAAACAGATAAACTGGTAATTGTGTGGGTATTAACTTAATGTTTAGAGAAATTTGGGATAAATTAGCACTAATGCAGTTTTCAAGACTGATCCTTTAATTGCATGTGCCCATAGGGCGATTGCATCTTGTATAGTACTTGAAATATATAAATAATTATATTTTTCCTTTTAACCCTCTTTCACTTCCAAGCTCAAATTGTTAATTCACTCCTCTAGCTGCTACACATTTCTTTATATATTAGTTACAATAACTTGTTGTTAGATCAAGATAACAACTTCTGCCCTCATAAGTTTGAGTATTCTCGTCACCAGTGTTTGTATGGACTTCATAGGGAGAAGTTACATGTTCATCACCTCTGGGAGTTAAAGGTTTAAGCATGCTCATTTTATATCATGGCTCACTGGTCCTGCCTAGGTTAACTCACAGAAATTGGTTAAACAATGGCAACCTTGATTGACAACAAATTTGCCAGCACTCCAAAATTGTATGTGATGAATTATATGATATTACTTTAAATATATAAATGACCCTGTTTTTCTTGTCATTTTGGTTCATGACTCACTGCTCCTACCTAAATTAACAATCATGTACAGAAATTGGTTAAACTATTACAATCTTGATTGATGTTGCCAGTGCTCTGATGTGGATTTTTGGTCTTGCAATTTCCCCTCAAACTCTGAATTGAAGTGTTGTTACTATCTTCTCTCATCTGTTTGCTATTTTAGAACTTTTGCATTTTTACCAGTTACCTGATGGTCAATTTGTTTTCAACTTCCTGCCCTGAATTTTAACAGTCTGCAACCAATTTTTGTTTGATTCAAAATACATACATGTACTGGCTCTCAATAGTTTCCTATACAAATATTAAAAACATAATCCCATACTATAACACATTCAACGTAACTCCATTTTTGTTAAATTTTCAAATAATATCCCCTCCCGGCTAATCATTTGACTGACTCTGTGCTTGAGTGGGGTGTGGCATTTAAACTAGAAATGTAAAATCTTTCCATGATAATTTACACATTTTAATGTAGTAGTCTAAAGGTAAAGAGTCTGCGTCTGTGATTGGATGGCTTAGAAAGTCAATTTTTACATTGTATAATGGTGCTTAGAAGCAAAAAATTGCTACATTCTACATCAATCATTGAACACACAAAGAATTGTTCAATATTGCGAGAGGCATTTGAATGTAATTTTGCCTGATTTTACCGGTCCACCCATCCAGTTTGACTATTTCAGTTGGCAATCATATTATGTATTCAGTTCTTGGCTTAAAGAAAACAATGATGAGAACAATAGATTGCCTTTGATTGGACTATATTGGCTTTGTTTTAGAATAATATTAGGTTCTTTGGAAATTGAAAAACTGAAAAAGTTTTTTTAAAAAAAGTAGTAATCTTTCTCACTATTATCTACCAGTTCTCCTTTTGATGATATAAATCTTGAATTAAGAGAAAATTCTTACAGGTCTGAGGGAGATTTTGTCATTTTGCAGTGATCCCCTAATTTTCAGCGTAACAAGTAAAGATATTTTTAAACCTGTAGAGCAATTCTTTTACCACTTGAATTTTATGAATTTGCTGTAGTAAAAGATGGTAGAGGTGGTAAATTAACTTGTTACCACCTGAAAAGAAGAACACTCTATACATAACTTGTAAGTTATGATGTCAAGTGTTTTAAGAAAAAGTTGTGCAATAACAGAGGAC